TCGTTTTTGGCAGCATGTCTTAATTGCATTTCTCGAAGTTATTTTAATACTATCTGGCTTTCGCAATTGTGTAAATTTCATCTCTTCTGTATGCAGTGAACTTAATTTTTGCTTCAAACTTATATTTGCATTATCATTTTGAAAGCTGTAAAGTTAATATATTTCTACATTCTCTGCGCCGAAATAAACAAAAGGACTTTTCTATGATAGATGTTTACCTCTCACAACCACAAACAAATTTGTTATTAGAAATAGTAAAAGTATAAGTAATATCAGTACCAAACACCGTCAATGATGTGGTCCTCTAATGGGACAAATGCACATGACAAGTAGTTCGGGAAATATCATGGGATGCTCTCTTAACCCTAGTAACCTTCTCGCCCCGATCTTCCTAATACTAATTTAATGTTTTATTTATTATTATCATTATTATTATTATTTTCCTTTTCAAAAATCTATGATTTTTTTACTCCAAAAGACAATGTGTTTTTATCGTCGTGACAGGTTTTTTTATGTTAAATTTCAATTTGTGACAACCAACTGTGATTTTAAAGCAAAACTACATTTTCCTCCAATTTTTTGCCTAGTTCGATTACAGATTGTTGATAATTAGGCATCAGGCCGCTTCCGCATTGAACATCTCTTTATACTCTAGGTTCATAAATGAGATTTTATCCCACATTTTTGAAGACCGGTTTTGGAATTGATGAGAGACGAGAAATGGTATGACCTTACATAAGAAGTTCCTCGATCTTCGCTTCATTCCTTATCTCTGAAATTCAGAGCGACCTTCTCGCGCAGAGGAAATATAGCGAATCACCTGGATCCTTCTCCGCCTGCATGATAAGAACGTTAATGTACACTTAAGGATACATTAAAAATTTTCAGTAACATCTTCCAAATTTCATGGTTAGACTACAGTTTACACTTGTATTGTGTGCATTTATTTTATTGGACGTTCTCCTTAAGCAAGGGCTTTACGAGGAATCTATCTACCTATTACGTTTTAGGATTTATAAATGACGAAAAGAAATCACACAAGAGGATATGCTCGATCCGTCTTTGTGCTCGACATTTTAGGACTAAAGGGAAGAAATGTTTCATGATTGGTTCTTCATTGACCAAATTTCATTATTACATGAAATGGTCTGAAACATATATATATATATATATATATATATATATATATATATATATATATATATACCAGAGAAGCTAATAGCTAGACGTTCAGTTCGCAATATAAAATCTCAATGTGATAAAACTATCATAGTTCATAAGGGAAATTATATGTGATTTTGCAGATATCGTCATTAAAACATTTATCAAAACCCGTAGTAAACATCTTAACGTAATTCAGCAAAATTATTGCTATTCAACATAATTACCAACCTATTGCTGCCACAAACATGCTCATCATGATCGTATTCTCAAATATTACTTAAAACTCATACGTTACGTAAGGGTCGAACGAAATGTCCAATACACTGATGTAATAAATTAGTTTCAACCCGAGTTATAATTAGAGGGAGATTGTGTGGTGAAAACTGTTTATTTTTTACTGTCTCATATAGTACGGAGTAATAAACGTGGCATAGATATTTTTTCCAAACTTTCGTCCGTCTGTGTCTGCCTGGACGTGTGTTCGTCCCTCCTGTGGACAACACCAGGGCCTAAACTAATCACAGGAGTTATTCCGTAATGATTATTCCCTGATCGATATGACCCAATCGAAGACCTACGATTTTGACCAAAAAAATCTTCAGATTTTGAGTGTACTTTACATGAAGCCCAAAGGACATCTTTTTCCGTCAAAAATAACTTGAATTCTTTTTTTTAATTCCTTGTAAGAATAGAGTGAAATTCGTTTATTAAGATGGCTTAAGTCGGATTTTCACTTATTTACTCTGAATTTTCGAAAATTGCAAAAGTTTGGAATTTTAAACGCACGGCCTCGTACATTATTAAAAATCTATTTTTTTCTTTAAATGAACTTTGTGCCTCAAATTAATTATTGTGTTCAAGTACTGCTTTTAAAAATATTAGTAGTTTTCGCGTAATTTTGAGAGAAATAACGCCACGAAATAAGGCAAATTCAATTCAATTCAGAAATATGAACAACTTCAAAAATATTTTTTTAGTAGTGACTCCGAGTTTTCTTTTTAAACGTTTGGTACGGATAATGCTAACTGAACTGCATAACGTGACATAAATGCTGATTTATTCTTTTGATTTTTTAGAAATCTCTCATGTTAATATTTAAAATACGTGCGTTTTTACACATTATTGCATTTGTAATTAAAAGAGTGTTAAATTATTTCGAATTATGTTTCTTGAAAAATCGAAAGTTTTCTGTGAAAATGATCTTACTCATTTTCAGAAACGTTCGAACGACATTTTCTTAAAGTCATCTATAATTTTTTTAATCACAATTTGCATACCAGATTGATACCAGCATGACCAGATTAGGCCTCAGTCGTTGTCAAAATGACCACTCGCGTCGCCACTTCGAGATCGAACGCTACGAGGTTAATAATGATGAAAGGCTGTTCTTTCTTCAAGTCCTGATCTGAATGGAATGTACGCCACGGTATTTTTCGTCGTTCAGTATCTTGTGGTTGTTTGTGGAATGTTCCGTAGGAACTACGTGTGTTTCTTTGCAACAATCACAAACTTGCTATTTTTGATGAGATGCTGATTTACCATTCGGCAAAACTTGGACAAAGAAATTTTATTTAGATTTCATGGTTCTCTGTAATTCCCTTTTGAACGTTCTTCTAATCCACGTTACGATAATAACCCTACATAATCGTTGGCGTATTAACCGCGAAGTAAGGATTAGTTGAAATGCCTTATCTCTGCGGGATGCTTAAGCCACCCAACACCATGGAAATTGTTGCTCTTCTCTAAACAGAAGAAAGTTTCCTCTGCCCATGACTGACATGATAGATGGATAGGAGTAGAACGAACGAAGTATCACAACGATCTGTAGTTGTTTCGACTCCACCTGTAGTGGGGAAACTACCGGAATTACGTTAACCCTACGATCTCCAATTTCCGGTCGTAAAATCTGTAAGATACTTTGAGCTGCACTTCGCGCACCCGTCAGGATTAAGTGTTCCAAAGATAGTTGCGCTTGATTTGTCCCGGGATAGATAGATGGCCCGGGATAGATAGATGTATGCATCACCATAACTCTGGTAGAGTAGAAGCTTTTGAGCTGTGTTATTTTCGTTAAAACCCTGTGAAATATGGAAAATTGCAATCGTTCAGATTTATTACCCCTCACGTTTAGATCTTTAAATGTTCTCAACCTTTTTCATCGACATCTTTTAAACTAATTATTTCTTTAATCATAAAGACTTGTTGCCAAATGCGCAAAACGACTTACAAATAACAATTCTGCATGTAAATACAGTGGGACGTCGATTTTCCGAACGTCATTATCCGAACTCAATTTTTTCTGAATAATTATTATTTTAATTAGATACCGTATATTATACGTATTCATTTTCTTTTGTATTACTGAATATTGACAGTGAACCCCGGTGTGATTGACAGTGATAAATTGACCGCGGAACTTCATGCATTTGCATATTTTTACTGATTGCGCATATTGAAAGGAAATGTATATAATTTTATCTGTCACCAAAAATAAAACAAATCTAGCCCATTTTTATTTTGCATATTTCTGAGATTTTTTCATCAACTGCTTATTTAAGTGCATATATTAAAGTTTTTTGGTGTGGACGTGGGTCAAAGTCAGATATTTTCGTGTATTTCTCTTTCAAAAGTAAGTGAATTAAGCTATGACAATGCTACAGTACAAATATAATATTTCCTATCGTCTTCTCATAAGATTGTTTTCGCTTGAATTGATTTACAAACTTGGTGTATTGTGCTGAATGTTTCGGCATCTTCAAACAATGCTCTTGGTTCTCTCGCTTCATATTTTTTGTTTATTATAATGTTTGAAAATACTTTGTATACTTACAATGTATACTAGACACGTGAACATTTAGTTATAATTTCGTGAGTTTTCTAATCTTAAAGTTGAATGATTCATTCGAAGGGGGAGGAGTGAAATTGTAGTTTACAATTAGATGTTTTTAAACAAAATTGTTCCTTCTTCGGGCTTGCAGGACTTAACGAACAAAGGTTTTGACAAGATATTTAAAGGCTTTGATACAAATATTTTACATTTTTTGTATTGAATTTACAATCACAATAAGAAATAATTACTGAATATTACATGTTCTGTAGCTTCACCTCAGAAATGAATCATCAACTTCATTAATATTTTTTGCAATCAATGTTAAATTTATCTTGATTTCACCGATAAGCAGTCTGTTCATATTCTGCTATTGACATTTGTCCAATTTTTGTATTGACCCTTTATGGTATCAACACACTGAGGGGTTGATACCTCTTTGGAAGGCCATTGTTTAAACTTATAAAAATAAGCTCTGTGTCAATCTTAATATACTTGTCAGGGTGTAATTACAGCGCCAAAAGCAATCGTAAGCTGTTTCATCTTCTATCATATACCATTGTGAATGATCCTAAAAGTTTATTTTCGAAATATTTACAAGTTATGTTCAATATGAACAAATATGTACTATCACGGGAGACATAGAATAATTACACGAGTATAGTTAATATTTAAAAGTAGTGCTACTGCCTCTTGCCATTATTACCTATTTTCATAATTTCCAAGCAGATGGTAATGAATGTAAAAAGTTTCATATGGGGTAGAATATCTTTCTAGTCTGTTGTGGGAACTGATATTATTGAGAAGAAAGTCCCGTCCCATGCGTTGAGATGAACTAAGATCAAATGGTGAGAACGACGAAGACAAGCTACATGGAAAAGCATAGTTGTGTTAGAAATATATAGGTATAGTATATTATATATAATAAATATATATATCTATATATAATATACTATATATATATAGTATATATATATAAATAAGAACTATGAGATTGCGCATCGCACTCATGCATTACGTCAGGGCACAAGAAATGGCAGCACGCAATCGGCAACGGGAGGATTGTGTTGAGTTGCTGTCTTATATATAGGTGATGTGGTAGGATATCTTTGGCATTTTTAAAATAATGAAAGATTGCTTGTCATTGCCAACAATGTTTTTAATCAAAAGCAGCTTTCGATGGCTTAGCCATCATCCTCAGTTGTCTGCTAGATGGAAGCCACAAAACGACTACGCCTGTCTACTGCTGTCTTAAGTTAAAGCTTGCGCCATCCACACTAACCTGGCTGCGTGCCTGTTGCAGGGCCGCCTACGTGTCGTTCGGAGGGTTGCTGATGCGGCTGCAGGGCGACGCCAACAACCTGCACGGCTTTGAGGTGGACCAGCACATCTACCTGCTGATGAAGAAGCTCGCCTTTTAAACGGAACTTTCTACTGCCTTTGCTTTTCTTTTTTAACAATAGTCAATAAAGATGTTTTTGTATGTATTGTTGTTTCTTGTTACATACTTTTGATTCCCGTCCCGAACGCATGCCATGAGAATAAACATAAATTACATCCATTGTCTAAAAACAGCATAAGTAAAATGGGTTTTAATGCACAAAGATAATTAGTGTATAGTCAACAAGATACTTCATTGAATGGTGCCTGATGATTTGAGTTTTAATAACACATAACATATTCCAACTTATTTTCTTGCAATATTACAAGTCCAGCTCTGATTCAATATTTTCATTTGTCACAATAACGATTGAATATCATTGGTATACCTTTGGTATATTGTTAGTTGTGAAAAGTAGACTACATTTATGCCCGAAAATATGACGTAAATAATAACAATTTTCTCTGATATTCCTCCATTTTTACATTGATTGTCATTCATTCGCCAAAACCTGAAGAATGGAAAAGATAAATCTGCATCCATACGTATTTTCGTGTTTTTTTGTTGTTTTTTGTAGAATGCGCAGAGTGTACTAAGGTGAATTAATTAGGAAGTTTGTAAATGTACAGTGTTTCGTTCAGTTTCAGAATACCTTTAATGGATGTATCTATAGTATTGTTCCTACATCATATAGAACGCTGAATGTGCCGACCGTGCCTCTAAAGTAGATGAATTCCGTTCACCATGAAACAATGAAATGATCTGATCTATTGAGGAAATTTATAGTATTATGAATTAATCGTTTCTTTGTGTTTCTTGAAAGTTTAAAGTGGCGCTTTCAGCATTTCATTCGATTCCTGATTTTTTTTATTTTATTTTCGTCAAAGAACGGTAAAAACTATATGCAAAGTATGGGTTATGATCTGCGCACTTTTTCTCGAGCTTCAAAATCTCTTCCTAACCTATACTGTACATACTCGTATGATGAATAATAGTGCCAACAAAGCAAGGTTAGCAACATTTGGAAAATAGTATTTTTCACTCCTGTGTTTTTGAAAACTTATGTGCATCGGTAAATGAATAGAGATTTGCATTGTTGTATTCCTAAAAAAAATGCAACACGCACCCCCGCATCTACCATATCACAACTAGCAAACGGATAGATCAAGAAAGCGTGCGCGTAGTGGAGCTTCATTTAAAAACGTTTCCCGCTACCAGTCGTCAACTCATGACAAGATATATATATATTCGCATTCAGGCATTTTAAGATGATGCGTATTAAATATTATTTCTTAAGTGTTGCTGTTCAAGATTCCGTCCCAAACATAAAGCGTGTATCAACTCTGTGTCCAAAGAATTGCTGTTTCTTATCTCCTACTTGGACGTTGAAGTTTATCTGTGATATTTCGATTAGTTTTCTCGCGGAGTTTGTTCTGACTTCAATGTCGAGAACATCACTGTGTTTCAGTCTAGTGCGTGATCTAAGATCATAAGGAGTGTTAAGAGTGCTTTGGAAGTATTAACAAAGTAGTCCTAATTAGGAATTTGCACTGACCAAGGCATGTTTTCACTGTTCGAAATTCAATTAATGTATGTAACAATCTACAGTCGACGCCGGTTATACTCGTAGTGGACTTAAGTAACTGGTCACGTTTCCCTTACATTGCAAATAATCATGAGCTTCGGTTACTGTGAATTTGAACCTCAGATAAAAATTAACCGTAAGTAAACCTATGAATTACAAAGTACTAGAAATTAATTTCCTTCTGGTAAAGAATGTATGGTGCCAGTGCCACAAATTCCAACACCAGGCAGCTTGAATAAAATATCGCCGGCCAAAGATCATGAACGAAGACGTCTCTCTTGAAGTGAAGGTAGCGGACCCGAACGGGCACCTTACTGATGACCTTACGTCAGTGCAGAAACAAAGGCCGTGTCGTGCGTAGGCTACAACTGGCGCGCCATTGCTTACTTGTTACTTGAAAGTCCGCGGGGCAAGGCCCGTGTATTTCCACGTAAGCGACAGGAAACGCGTCACTGCCAGTTGCCGCTGCCCCGCGACTTGGCGACCCCCGCGCCGCGCGGAAAAGCGATCAGTTTCATTAGCCGCTAGCGCCAGCCCGGTACCGAACGCATCTCGTATGTTACTAGGCGATTAAAAGGGCCTTCGGATAGTGGGACGGTGTTCCAACAGTGCAAGAGGCATTGAAGGGTGTCAAGACTGCATTCCGATAATTAGATTCAGAGGGCAATGCAGAATCAAGTATGGAAAGGGCACGAACACTGGAGAAGGATCTAAAAATATTACTAATGACGAAGTAAGAAGAAAACAATAGAAAGTAATTGATTTAAGTACAAATAAAGATATTGAAATTTTCAGTTCGTGTTGTTAATATATTTTGCTGTATCCCTATATTAATAAAATCAATCGTTATGTAGACATTTAATTTTAACATAATCTGATGTAGTGATGTAAGTAATGTTAGTCCCCAGAAGTTCACTATAAACGAAGCCGACTTCAGTTACTTTGGGGCATTCCTTGTGGGATTAAACTAGTTTTCAGAGAATTTTTTGTAAGACGAGATATATCTTTGTTGCTTGCTTGAAAGGGGTCGTTCAGTCTATTCGATGAGGAATTCCAATGGAGAATTCTGGTGCTCAGGGACAGGAAGACAGCCCTCAAAAAGCCATTATCATAGAGTTGATTGTAAGTATTTTAGATATGCTTCATGTATCAATCGAATCGGTCATCAATCAATTACTTTAAAATCACGGATGATGTTTTTTGTAGTGAATTTACAATTCGAGGGACCATGAGTGTTATTTTGGGAAGTGATTAAATGGAAACATACGTAATACCAAAATAACGTTGGTAATTTCTGAATCACTTATTGATAAGGGAATTTATCTGCAAGTTTCCAGCGCACGAATGATTTTTAATATAATAAGTCTTCAACGAATGAAATTATATCCAGAAGAGTTCCAGAATGCGCCAAAATAATACAAATTATAGAGGGTGAGTCATTTCATGCGGTAGAAAAACGCAGTAGGGTGTTTCTTACAACAATAGAAATAAATAATTCCTCTACAGTTTTGACCTCACAAGCAAGATATCCCAAGAAAGTGTTTTTGTAAGTTTCCAATTTCTTAGCAGTCTGTCTAATTGGTGTTTATTTCCAATACTCGGCTTTCTGGGGACGAATTCTAGCGGTCGGCTGCTCTAATCGGTTACTTCTGTGGTTATTTCAATAAAAACAAGGTGAATACCGGAGCACTATCCTAAAAAAACGGACCGCGCGTGATCTTTTCTTCGCCTTCCTTATTCTATTCTCACCTTATTTATACACAAACCTACATGCACTTCTCTAATACACATGTCTGGAGACTAGTCAGAAGCTTAGAGGTTGACCCGACTGTGGCGGTGCTCCTCTGGGAGATATCAGAGGAGGGAAACCCTACAAGCCCCGTGGACGGCGCCGAATCTCACCGTCTAGCGAGAGAAAAACATCGCCATTCCTGTGATAAGGCATGCACTACATTTATGAGACTAATGACCATAACTGTTGACGTGGCTGGAAACGCTAAAAATCAATTAATGAATTCAATACTCGTGCGAGTAGCTCTGTTCTACATTCGGGAGGTCATTAATGCCATTTACAAAACTGTAATTCTGTCGCCTAATGCTGGGCCGCGTTTGATACATCACTGTCGTAATATGCATCCCAATTTTCAACTCACAAATTCACGTTTTTTGTAGTTTCTATCCAAAAAAAAGTCGATTTATATACATAAAGAGTAGTATGATTCATAAATTGCGGCTATTAATTGGCCAGTAGTGAGAAGGAAGTAAGAAAAAGTGGAAACAAAAAATAATGCATAGCCGCCTTGATTGGTCCATACTTCTAGGTATAATAATATTGTTATATATTCCATAAGGCGTTCAGTTCTTTATAAAATTGAACCATGAAACTAACCATGCTGCTAGCGATATTGTTGTCGCCTAATGACCTCCCCCTAACTGTGAAAGACATTTCTGACCCCAGCGTTTTTGAAGTTGCGAAATGTTCATTTGATCCGAAACGGACTACGCAGGCATCTGATCTATCCCCGAAACAATAGTTTGGTTTGAGCAAGATGAGAAAATGTCATTACAACAGCAGTGATATCAAAACCAGAGAAATAGTCATAGAACCGAAAGGAGATATAATATCTAAATCATCAGGTTATATTACATACCGAGAACGAATGAAAAGTAGTGGTGTTAAAACAGCATATACTATTTCGCCTTTAGTAACGGTTACGTAATATTATTATACGGCAATTTCTGTCCATTACAGTCAATGGGCGCATATTTTCTGATCAATTCTTGACAAAACACCATACTCGAAAATAAATGGAACTTTTTCACTTATCATTTTTGTGGCTTTTATGAAAGTTCTTATGAGGGGTTCTTCAACACAATTGTTTCTGTTTCGAATACATAAGTTTGTTTTTTCATTGATACGTTATTCTTTTCTATACGGAGCTCGACATACACTGCATAACTTACCTGGAGCGAAGGATAGAAGTTACGAGAGATATATGAAAACAGTTAAATGAAGCTACATGTTCTCTTCCGGAGGAAAATATGGGAGGGACATATGAAAAGACAAACCCAGCCAAATTAACATTTTTAAACTTGACTTGTCACTAATTAACCCAGTTAATTAGTAAATAAGTAAATGTGAATCTTTAAAATTAGGTAAAACAATAAAAGCATGTATGTGCCACGGGCGTTAACTGGTTCTAATGATCGGTATCGTATCCAAACCCGATATCGAGCTCCGTATGAACGGCAAGAACGCACTAGTAGAAGTAAATCTTCACTACCTATTCGAAACAAAAGCAATATTGTTCAAAAAGAACGCCTTAATAGCACTTTTATAAAAGCCACCAACAATGAAAACTTAAAAGTTCTACTAATTGAGCGACAAAAAGCCCGAGGGCTTTTGCCCCGAAAATGAGAACTGCACCGCTATTCGAGGTCAAATTTTTTTTTACAAATTCTGTGTTTTATTTTAAATGTCCAAGGGGCTTCATGTAAAGTACCCCGAAAGTAAAAAGTAGCTTTCAAATTCAAGCGGCCACGACAGCAGCCAGATGAGGAATACCAATTTTAATGAAAATCTTGTTTACGGTTTAACCGCTAGCGTTGTTCACAGACAGACTTTTTTTCGTCAATCGATTTTTCGGTATCAAAGCCTCACAAGACATGGATTCTGACAACACAACATTTAAGAGAAAGTTTTTTATCATAGGAAATATTTATCCACTTTTAGTTACCAGGGCCCGGTAATAAGAGTTTTTCTGTCGAAAATCCTTTTTTCCTCGCAGCATTACAATAGTTTTTCTGTACTACGTAAGCAGGAGCGAAAAAGTAAAAATATGATGCAAATGTAATGTGAAGGATTTATTTACTTAACGTTAATCTTGCAATATTACTACCTTCAGTACAATGGTACACTTCATTAAGGGAGAAAATCTCTATTTTCATAATTGTAGTTGAATTTTTGCAATT